TTAAATTCCAAGGCCATTTAATTAATACGATGATTTAATTTGTTCTGATGAATAAGTAAAAGTCAAAAAATTTGAAGTAAATTATTTCTCTTTTCCCCATAAAAGAGAAGATAAGAAGAGAAGATCTAAGAAAGGAGAAGAAAACATTTTTTTGTGCGTATAATAGGACAAGAAATACAAGAAAAAGGTGGTTTTAAATAATCCAAAAATATTTGCGTATAATAGGACAAGAAAAAGCAATTTCTTTTTTTGTATGCATCAATTACATACAATTTCACTCGAAATTGGTGAGAAATTTGTCATTATTATTCACAGTATATGTAAGAGTTCTGAATTGCATTTATTGAATGTATAGATTAATTTTCACGGGTAACCACTGCTCGTATACAATTGTGATGTACGAAATTGGAACAAGAATTGTTGCTTTCAAGTGTGAATCGGAGCATAAATTTATACGTAAATAATTATTAAAATTATAATATATAAACCAATAATTTTAAATATAAATTTATAGAACTAAAATTCTGAATCTGAGCGAATTGTTTAATCTTGCCGCTGAGATATTCAATTGACTCCTTAACCTTGACAGGAAGATGGCATTTTCATTGACATTTACCCATTTGAATATTTTGTATGAATTAGGGAACAAAGATAAATTTATAATGTGAACTTTACGTATTCTATACAGTGGCGGATGTAGAGTATAGTTACTAAATTTTCAGGAACACAATAACCTTTGCGGAAACTCTGCATTTTTATTAAAAAATTTATTAAATATTTATAAATATTTAAATGTAAACCAAGTTATTAGTGTATATTATTTTGAGATTACAATAGGAACTCATAAACTTTAAACTCTAAATACGCCTCTGATTCTATAGCTATTTCAAGTTAATACATAAATATAATTAAATTCATAATCAAATATTTTATAAATATTTGGTAGCATTTCTTTTAATATATACTAATATGAGATACGAACAAAAACTACTGAATTAACGTGTTCATAATTGACGTGGATCTGCCCCTTCGAGGTGAAGAGGACGTTAGGTGTCAAGTTCACATATTTGTATGATAAATTTCTACTCTTCATGCTGGGACGAATGTTGAATAGAATGTTTAACATTTAAAGAAGTAACAAATATATAAATTATTATAATAACAAACTTTGTCATTTTTTATGTTGTTGTACCAAATAAAATATTTTCAAAGCTAATTCTTGAATGTTGCATGTTAATTATTACTTTTGTTGTTTATTTTGTTTGTTCATTATATTAAAAATATATTTTTATCTGTTTATTTTAGTAAATCAAGAAAAAGATAATATTTATTTATGTTTTATTCTTATCATTAACTAAGTACTAATTATTCAAATTATTTTCCAAGACTTTTTGAAATGTTATCAATATTATGGATAAAATGTTAAATGCCTACTTCATTTACTTTTTCTTAAAGGCAATGTAAAGTTAAAATTAAACAACTAAAAGTTGAGTAATTAACTTCGAGTATTTGTAGAATACCAACCACTGTAATATTCGAACACCCTCAGTTTTTCAGAAGTGTCACTCGTTTCCTAATAGATAATTTATAGAGCTTTAGAATTTTTTTAATTAAAAAAATTCAATCTTTTCCAATGCGGTAATTATCGGTTATCCAGCTAATCATAGGGGCGGAGCTAGCCCTCTGCTTATGGATTCAGCTGAACCCAGTAGCTTTTGTATCAACTCTATATTTGTCTTGTGAAATTCATGCAATATGTACAAATTATTATTTTAGAATTTAATAACTTAAAAAAATTAGAATTCTGAATCCATAATGTTCAAATCCTCCCCTAATCACATTGTACTAAACTTTATGAGACTCACAATGAGTAATTAAGTGTCCCACAAATTAATGCGTAGTGATTGGACGGCTAGTTTACGTTAAGTATTTTCTAATTGAATTTAGCCTAAAAGTGCATCTATTCTTCTGTTTCATGTTTAATAGAATCATTATTTAGTGCCTTTTTAAATGTAAAAGTCGGTTTACAGTGGTAAATTTTATATAAGTTTGATTATTTATTTTTTTGTGACATGTCGGTATTTCAGAAAATGATCAAGAAATGAAATAGGACATTTTAAAAGATGTCTAACATAATCTTATTATTATGATTATTGATATAAAAAAAAAGCTAAATGAGACATTGCAAAGGGGGTTAATAAGTTCTCCCAAAATTATTGGTTTTGTAATCTGCTGACAATTCATTTCTTATTTATCAACTAATTCTTTCCCATTGGTAATTTTTGAATTTTCTTATTTTGTACCTCGCACGGCTAATATTAGTTGTGCGAGACTTTATTGTATCTCACAATATAATGTATTATACGCGAAGTTTTGTGGACCCTAATATGTAAGAATTGGGTCCACTTCATTGTGAGACGAAAACAAGCCTCACACAATAGTGTCAGTTGTGTGAGACACATAATAAATTTTTTCGTAATTTTTTATTTTTTCTTGCTGAATAAAGATACCATTTTTATTGAAGGAAGAAACTCATATATTTGACACAGCCCCTGCTAAATCAGTTCAGAAAGTAAACAAAGCATATAAAGGTAGAAGATCCCAAAATTAATTTGTCGTTCTTAAGCCATTTATAGATTTTGATCTTCCAAAAAGAGCCAGAGCATCTGCAACCTTATTCGCCTCCATGGATAAATAATTCAACACATAAAAATGATGCAGTTTGTGAGTTTGAGTTAATTTGATCAATTAGTAAACGGGCAAGGACTCTTTGATACGAGTCGTGAAAATGAAAAAACTCATGATAAAAAGGACTCTTTGTGGAAGTTCATACATAAGTGCACCGATCTCCAGTATATTATGCTAGAACTTTCCGTATTACAGCAAGATAGTGACTATTTTTTAATAACTTTACAAAAGCTAGCTACTTTTAAATGACCGGTCCATAAACTGGCTAGCCGCCTTATTCCCACCAAAATCATATGTGCTAAGAAGACTTGTTTAACTAGAAATAGTACAATTTGCATTAATAACCAAAACCGAAAAGCAAGTCATAGGGTTAAAAGGGGGACAAGAATTCTACAAAATGAGTTTCCCTAGACAAATTGGAATGAAAAAGAAAATGGAATTTCATCTCCTCCGTGTGGATTTGTATGGATTTGTAGTTGGATAAGTACACTTCTTTTTATGAACAAAAAAGGCAAAGTAAAGTAACTAAATTCGGTTCCCATGAATAAACAATCATTAAGAGCATAGGGGTAACGTCTGCGTACATACTATCTTCCCCAGACTACACTTGTGGGATTTTCCTGGGTTGTTGCTGTAAGAGTAGAGGCGGACCCAAAATTTTAATTTTAAATATTAAATTCTTTAAATTTAAAAATTATGTACTATACAATGTAGCAGCTTGGAGCTCAATTAGGGGTCGAAAACCACTTGCATACTTCCTCGGTTGAGCATGTCGATGAGGTTCCCTAGTACATTTATTCTTCTGTGTGATTTGCGCTTTTACGGGCTATTACATAGGAGCAGGGTTTACCTGATGCGTATTCGAAGAATAGCGACCGTGAGTTCCCTGGTTTAAACAAAACAAAAAAATAATACTAAACTTAAAGCTCAACTCAGAGGCAATGCCGTTAAAAGTTTTTCGTATTGAGAGTGGCCCTTCAATTTAAATGGAGAAACTGGTGGGGTAAAGATTGGCACTAAAATTTGTGATTTTGTCAAAATTAGTGGGTACAGAAACAAACGTATGTGTGGCCAAACACAACCCACCATCCAAAAAGTTAAAAAAACACAATCAATCATAAAAAATTTAAAAAATTAAAGGGGAAATATGTTTGGCTTCAAGGTTTTGATTCAGTGGAAAGAGCGCAACCCGTAATTTGTTGGTTAAGCGCACATCACGAGTTCATACCCTGTCAAAAATATATAAAAAAACGTAATATTTAAATTAAGAAAAGCAAATAGGCAAATCCGTTATTCACTGAATTTTCAATATTGTAAGTCTTATTCTTGCCCTTTAATAGGAATCCATAAGCAGGAATAGAAGTTGGCCTTAGTGATCCGATGGTGCCGAGTGGAAGGGCTGTCGTACCCTTGACCGCTCTCCCTTGAACCTGAATTAGTTGAGAGATGAACTCACACTACATTTTTACAAATCAAAACCCCCAATAAGGTGACCTTTGGAGATTTTTCGCTTATCAAAATTAATTATTAGATAAAAGGGTTATTTAAGCAAATAAAAAGTAGGTATAATATTAAGAATTAGGTGAAAAAAATGAATAAAGTGATGTTAGAATAGCAGCAAATAGAAAAGGTAAATTATCTCATTTCTTTTTTCTTCTTTATAGGTTTTGTAAACTCCTCTTTTCACCAACTCTTTTGACCACACAATTTCAAGTGGGGAATGATAAATTAAAGGAGACATATACCAAATCTTTTGGATCACTCAATCACATAATATGTGACATTTTTGCTAATATAATGGAGGAACACATCAATTATTTGACAATAAAAATTAACTTCAAAACATGATATTATTCTAAATTTGCATCTAAAATATTGATCTTAATTGGGTTTGCAAGACACCAACCTGGATTTGAGCTACTTATGAGCTTAGATCATTATCGGCTATGCCTCAATCTTAAATTAGTTAGGATCGATATATGAATTCCTTGTTATTTAATAGATTAAACCACGCAATTACTTACTTACTATAACTTTCCTCCTTTATCTGAAGTAAACATTATATTTTACCAAGATCTTATAAGTGGAGTTAGGTTGCATTATGGGGTGAGACAAATTATTTTGAGAAAATGACATTGTACAACCTCTCTCAAAATAATAGCCGAAAATATATATTTTTTGTATATATACATTTCTGTATGTTAGATACAAAAAATATACAAATTTTATACACTTTTGCAGTTACTTGATGTAAATAGTTTCAGCTGCGGGCTAAAAATTATCTTTGCCCAATTATTCTTGATGTTTAATACTTCACATAAAGGCGTGACAATCACTATTTGTCTTGAAAAGTATAGGGATTTTGAGCATTCACATGATTCATCTTAGTTACAACTTTTGTTTCAAGAATCAGGTTTTCTCAGTACAACATGCGATTTTGCGTTGTTCTTGGTATATCATTTTTGACAACTGCGCCTCAGTCCCAAATGAGTTGGGATATCATTTTAGTACACAAATTAATAATAATGACTCCACTATATTCGATTTCAAGGGGATTAATGACCCTCACTAACGAAAGAATCTCAGCTCTCCAATGGCACAGCAGAATCGACCTTCACCCGATTTAATCTAACAGTTCCAAGAATGTATTCAGGGAGTTCAGCCTCTTCTTTTGCCTGCAAATGTATGTATAACATGGTCATGTGCAAGTGACATGAATTGTTAGAGAATAACAAATGCAACTGTACTATTTACGGATATAAAACCAGGATGTCGAGAACTTGTTCATTATTAACATGAAATGTGTCCTGCACAGGCATTCACTTAACATAGCAGCTTCAGAATATTTCACTTTTCTTTTTACCGTTTGTTCTATTATTTGGCTTGATAGTGAATGATTGAGTTGATTCACGACCCATTTCTAGTATTATTAGGTAATATACGATTATCGTGTTTTAGGTTTGGAAGTATTTTAAACTTCAATGGTGGAGAGGGTAGAGGCGTACTCAGGATTTGAAGGTCGCGGGTGCACTTTTTGATTCAACCAAAATTTACCTATATATAGGGTGCCCGCTATTAATATATCACTATTTTCTAAAGATATATACATGTATACATGAGATTTTTACCGAACTATACGGGTGCCGGTGTCCCCTCTACCTATTGCATTGGTATGCCTCTGGGAGAGGGAAACAACAAAATCACTATGTCCTGTGCATTGTTAAGAGACAGAGAGAGAGAGAGACGGAGGGAGGGAGGGAGCATTAATCAAGCTACACATAAGTGCCAGAAACAACATGCGAAATGGTATATCATTTCATAAAGTTGTCATTCTAAACTTTCTTTTTTGGTTTCCCACCCAGTTTTTAGTGCCCCTCTGTAGTCCGACTAATCCGGATACGCGCCGGAAAATCTGATTTTGGGGGACAAAGCGCCTCCTACCAAAGGCGACTCCATTATAGGACTCGAAGTCCAGTGGCGAAGCCAAGAATTTTCCCAAGGGTGTTCAAACTTGAAAGAAGTGAAAAATTCTCCAACAAAGGGTGTTCAATATATGTTATATACCTCTAAAACCTAATATTTAACCTATATACACAATGTCAATTGACCACCCTTAGGATAGTATAGTTTCCCCCTGGCTCGAACCCGAGACCCTTGGTTAATGATGGAGGGGTACTTACCTTTGGTGGTTCATTCTGAACTACTTGAAGATTAGACGGTTTTACTCCTATCGAGCCAAGTTCCTTCTTTGGTAAGAACTGATCAGATGGAACATAATCTCAAGGAGAAGAATGACATACCTCTATTAAAATAGCAAGATCAACGACAAGGCTTGTCACATATCCCAGTACAAGACCAATGACACCTCTTGCCACAGATGATGAACCGATGTCCACATCAATCTGCATGCGTGAAGTTCCATTTGAGGATTAAATCAGTGAAGGAAGCATATGTATTGAAGAAAGCCACTTGAGCTCACTAATTCAGCAAAGCCATGCAAGCAAAAAAAGCCCGGGCGCAGGAGAAATATTTTCTTCCTTTATCTATAATATTTATCTCAAAGAAACTTTTTTTTTAAGTTATATCTAAGTCAAGAAAATGAACTTGGAACCTAACCTCCAGAAAGTTATCTTGTCTAAGGTATTTGCAAGTTACTGCCTTTCCCAATAGGCAAGCTTTAGTTCCCACGGCACGTTTAACCATCCAGTACCCCTGTGATCAGAAGCAATTAGCAATAGAGTGTAAGGAAAGAAGTCTGCTACTGACAAAGAAACTGATACCTCAATGATGCTTGGAATCAGTTTGAATCTTGAATCACGAAAAGAGTCAGTTCCATCAATGAATTTACCCAACAATGAATTCTTATTTACAGGTCTGTCAGCAGCATAATAAAGAACCAGGCTGTAATTTGGTTTAGCCGGAACCTGAAAACCAAGCCAGAACACAATTAGTGACATTTCTTACAATTAACTTTTATTCAACAAGATTACATTTTTTCTGGTTAACGACCCAAATTCTGTCCTTTCCTTTTAAAACTGCTTTTGTAATTTTCAAGTTATTTGTGAAACAGCTGAAATGAGAGAAGTCATATGAAACACTTAATGAAACAGAATCTTAAGAATAAATTTAGAAAGTGCTTGGTATACCGTGGTCTATTAAACATTAACAAGGGAAAAGCCAAAAAGACGTACCATGAGGTTAATTATGAGGACAAATGGAAGTTTTTTCCCTGCTTCAGACTGAAGTTAAGAAAACACTGTGAGCAACGGATATGCTTAGCAGCTAAATAGAATCATGAAATAAGATCGATAAGAGAAATATGCTCAGTGCAAAAGTTAGCCATCAATGCCCTAACATTTCTCAGTTAAGAACATTGTTTACTGGTTGAATTCAATGAAGCTCTTTAAACACTACATCGATCAGTGCAAAAACAAGCCATCAATACCGGAACATTGCTCAGTTAAGAACATTGTTTTACTGGTTGAATTCAAGGAAGCTCTTTAAATCCTACCACGATCACCTTATAAAGAGGAATGAAGTACACCAGCAAGTTACAGTGTTTACTCTACGATGCTCAAGAGACAAACTGATATATATTAATATGACTATAATGTGAAATAGCAGATAGAGATCTTTGTTGTCCCCCTTTTTTTTAGTTTCCCACTGCTTTTGCATCCTCTAAGAACTTGCAACTATTTTGAATACTTCATATAGGGGCTGACACTAACTTGATGAACGGAAACGTCTAACTTTACCTCTTAAATTTTTTGTAAAAGACATAAAAGTGGATGGTTTAAAAAATATCATGACACAAATATGGAATAAAGGTAGCCAAAAGTTTGACATTGATCATAATATTAGGGAGAAATTTGGAAGGAGAAACACGCACGGAAGGATAGAGAACACCTCTGGTAACTCAAAGATAATAAAAAAGGACAGCCCGGTGCACGAAGCATAGCGCGTTTAGGGGAAGGGCCGCACCCAAAGAGGGTGTGATGTAAGCAGTCTATCCTGATGCAAGCACCAATGGTTGATTCCATGGCTCGAACCCGTGACCTATAGGTCACACAGAGACAACTTTACCGTTGCTCCAAGGCCCCCCTTCGTAACTCAAAGGTAATATGGGCAGCAAAGAAGCCACCATGACTAGTCAAAAGCTAAAATGAACTATATACAAAGGCAAAGGATGAACTATCTGGCCTTATTCTTTTCATGTATTTTCCATTTCTTTTCCTTTCAAGTTAATATGTAAAACTTTACAAAGTTTTCCATCATACAACAAAGTTTGCAGTGACTTCAAAGAGATAAAAGGTGACTTCAAGTAAGTTTACAGGCAGTATTTGCCTCAAAAAGTCAGGTATCTGAGCGTAAACTGTAGGAGATAATTAGCAACATGTCCTTTGTGCCAGTAAAAAATATAGAGAACTTCTAGTACATTTTGTCTTTATCTTTATATTGTATATTGCTAGTCTGAGATGAATTTTTATGGAGAAACACGGTCAGTGAGGAATCATATAGCTGACCCCAACTTGTTTAGGACTGAGGCGTAGTCGTTGTAGCATATCCTTCCAGCAATATTTAGACAAATTCAAATAAATAAAAATTTCAGTGTCTGGTACATTAATTTGAAGCATATTATCTTTTATTACTTTATTAATTTGACTAAAAAATTGAATTTATCTAGAGGATAAGCAAAATGCAGTCAGGTAATAAGTGATTCTTCTATACCTGAACAAGACACTTAGAATGCAGAGCAACCTTTGTGATGCACTCATCCACCTTGAACCAGTCAACTGCGATAAGCTTGAGCAGGGGATCTCCACCAGTGACCTTGGAAAAATTGCAATTACGATGATTCAATCGAGCTTAATTTTTTATAGAACCATCATTATATGGAAACAATGGAAATTATTTGCGCCAAATAAATGTTAGCACCAGTGATCAATTATGCAAGTAAACTACCATGACTTAAACTATGAGGTAAGCAAGGAGTTTAAAAGATGGCTCTGCTTTGGTTATGAACAACAAATAGAAAACCAATTGTTCAAAGGTGCAATGCTTTATGAGCCAATAATACCCTTGGCCTTTTCATTTTTCTTTTATCTTCAACACTGCTAAGTACGTGACTCTTGTGATTAATTAGAGAGCTGGAAAAAAATTCTGAAACTTGTACATCTCCAGCATTAGACAACTACAAGTGAAAACTTAGTCCAAATATTCGAATAAATAATATTTCAAGAATGAAAAGCTACCTTTGTACTGTCTTTCAAGTATGTCTTCCCTCTGATCATGAACCCAGAACCACTTGGCGAAGACCAGCAATCAGAGTCGCTCTCACTCTTACCCAGCCGCATGGTACCGTGAAACTGACTTGGATCAAGAGTTAATGGAGGTACATCAGGATTTAGTTCCTTACTAATGTCTGGTGCTGCATGCGACATTGAACATAATGTTTTAATAAAGTTGTTTAAGAGACTTTAAAGCAACGAAAGATAAACAGCAGTATCATCTAAAGACCACTCACTCTCGGCTCCAGCAAAAATGGTACATAGTGAAGAGAGTGATTTATGCAGCGTGTTTGAATTTTTTGCACACTTCTAGACTAAACATTCGGATCTAGGCTAAAAAACCAATGCTTCTGTTTTTCTTTTTTTGGATAGGTAAAGGTAATTTTATTGATATCCAGAAATAAGTGTATGGTGTTACAGTAAGAGAATAGCTACAGCAATCACATATTGTGTAATACAACAACTATGCCTCAATCACATATTGCGTACTGAGCTCAAAAAATTTATTGCCATCTAAATGATTTAAATCAGTCACTACAGCCATGTTGCAGCAAGAAGATAGAAGAGAGATACATCTAAACTTTACAATAATCACGGATTCCATTTCAAAATTATCTTCCATTTCTCTCCTTCCAGATGAACCACCATAATGTCGTAGGGATTGTGTTCCAAACCAAGGTTCAAGCCTATACTAAACCTTTCCTGTACCGGCAGAGCAGAGGACTTCATGAGTTAAAAAAAGACCCAAGACACTGAACATTACATTCCAAAGTTGGGAGGTGAAACTGCAGCAGAAGAACAGATGGTTGACATCTTCACTTCCTTTTTCACAGAGAGCACACCTGTCGCAAATGTTAAAGCCACTTTTATGGAGATTCTTTTAAGTTAAAAACATCTTTCGTGTTTAATTTTAATTGGTCCTTGAAAATAAGGACTAAAGTTCTTCAGAAGTAGCATCTCAAGTTACTCATTCATGATCTGCTCCGTATTTAGAGTAATTGATCATGAAGATGAAGGACTACATAGATGCTTCCACATACGATACACCAAAGCAAGAAATGTAGGGGTGGAGAAAAAATAAGAAGAAAGAAAGAAGAAACTAATCAGGATGAGAAGAACGAAATTTAATACCTGATGTCCTCTTTAAAGCCAAGCGTGCTATGGCCCATGAAACATTTTTTAGCTTGACTTTTTTGTCCTGTCAAAGAGGTAAATAAAGGGTTCAAAGGCAAGGTAATTGAAGCAGGCAGTCTCCGGAAATAATCCACTGCTTTTGATCGATTGAGGAACACGAGAAATGACAAACCTTCTTACTGGTTACTTGGTCATCACTATCTTCATCAGATGATGAGGACTCGTCACCTATTGCATCGTAGAATTCATCTGACCCCACTGTATCCTCAAGCTCATTGCTTGATATAGAAACATTAGATGTTTTTGAATGAACAACTACTGTGGATGATTCAAATGTAAGTGCTGGATTTGCTCCAATATATTCCTTCAGACCTACACAAATAATTAAAATAAGACGTTGGATGATAATGGTGACATTAGTAGAGGAATATCTTCCAGGAAATATACGAAGATGATGAATGCAGGCTAAGGTGTAAAATTGAAGGAAACACAAAATAAGTGTTTAGTGCATGCAGGAAGTAGAGATTGAATAAACGGCCCCTCGCATCCTTTGAGATAGTTGCAAGCAAATCAGAATACTGTGTTAAAAGGAACAAGAGGCAGAAGGGACTTTTGGTTCATTACTACTGTCAAACTACAATGGAAATGTAAAGCATTTACGTTCTACTTCGAACCCGTATTCACATATCCCACCTTTGTATATGTATCTCTCTTTTAATCTTTCTTTTATTAAAAAATTAAGGGCAGACCAGAGGTAGAGAGAGTGATTTAACTAGTTGAGGCTTTCAGGCAAATGATACACAAGGAAGGAAAAACATAGACAGCTCTCAGATATAGGAAATGAGATTCTATACATTGATTAGAAAAAAAGCTTCTTAATCGGATGTGGAAGGTAAAAGGAGAATTAATTTTCCATTGCCTAAGAAAGGAAAACTGGGGAATAAGACGGAGAGAACAGAAAGGAATATGAAGAGGTAGAGTTCAGCAGACGATATAGACTTCAATTACATAATAAGAGCAAAATCAGAAACAACTCAATCTTCGTTCAACATGAAAGCAAATATAGGGAACAGAAGAAAACAAGGCATCATCAATGTCAAGAAGAATATGCTCTATGAATCACCTCTCTCCCTCCCCCCCCCCCCCCCCCCCTCTCTCTTTCTCACACATATTCTGTTGGATAGGTAGCGCAAAAGATAATTCGGAAGCTAAAAAGATGCAATGAATGGTGTAATTAGGCTTCCTAACACAACTCATGAGCTTCCAGAAAACATAGGTAACAAATCAACCAACCTGCCACTTGACTCAACATTCCAAAAGGAAGTGTCCTCTCAAATTTAGAAAACTCATTATTCTTCCACTTAAACCAGTGCTTAGAATGTATCTCCAGAATCAGTGTCACAAGGCATCTTGCAGGATTTAATGTGGAGGAAGTACTTATATTGCTGATCTCCCAAGAAGAAGCTACAATTTAACATAGTTTAGTCAGGAACAATCAGCAATAATTAAGAATGCGTAGTATCTCAACGTAAATTTAATCTAGAATGCTAACATCAAACTAATAAAATTTTCATGATATCAGCAATGTCTTGAGACACCAATAAATAGTCACATTTTCTCGCAGATCCACCGTTGAGGAAAATTTACAGTATTATATAGTAAAGCAGTGGAAGTAAAACCTCACTACACCACAAATATTTTTGATAGGTTAGATAGCATAAATTAGTCAAGAGACATGAATTTCCAGACCACAAACATCTGCTGAGCTGCATTGAGTTGGGATTGACTGGATGTTAAAGACAAACACCGAGATTATAGACATTTCCAGATACACAAGCCAGATCTTTAGATACCAAATCTTTTTTTGATTAATCTTCCAGTACTATATCTTTAATGACATGGAGTTTCTTACCGTTAATTTTTATACGTCGATATCCACTTTTTGGAGGCCGCTTCTTGTATTCAGTTGGAAAATGCAAAATCGCTGCACCAAATGTAGAAAAATATCAGTCAATGAAAGCATAATAGAAACAAATAGGCTGAACAGCATATGATATGGCTGGAATTACGAAAACATAAGTTCTATTCTACTAACAGTTATTACAACGCTCTATTTCTTTAGAAATAATATGGCATGAAGAAAACAAAGAGAAAGAACCTCAAAGACAAATACGCTATCCCGTGGCAGTGGAACATCCTGCCGGACTACTCATCACATCAAACATACATGTGATTGCAAGTATCCCTCAGAAGCTCTTTGACTATAATTTCAATAAAATTTGCATAAGGACACAATATGCAAGTTTTTGTTGATGTGTCAGCAAATTTAAGCGAATGCACCGATTCAGGCACAAGGAAAAAATGAGCTTATTAGTAAAGCTAGCTCAAAGCAAGAAACCGGATTTGGAGGATAAACTCTTTCCACCTATTCAAGAAAAAAGAGAACTAGCAAATAAACAAAGAAACTAGAGTCACAAGCTGATGAGTTCTCCCAAATTATTAAAATTAGGTATTTAAGACTGTTAGCGGAAACGTAAAAGAAAGAACACAAGATTTAACGTGATTCGGATCAAAATAATCCTACGTCCAC